TATTTGAGCAGAAAATTTACTTTTCTTGCAGAGAATTAGCCCATAAAAAGCCCGTATTTTTGGCTTATTCCCCGACCCCCTCCGATAGCCCTGGTTGGCTAACTTTTCAGAGCTGTTACTAACAATAAAGCAGCCCCTTTCAACAATTCCTATTTATCTATGAATTCTTTCCTTCGCATGGCTGGATAAAGTTATTGCTCAATCAAAATTGGCGACAAATATTGTGTTTTATTTACTGGATTCCGGCAAATATCGTCTAAACGCAAAAGAATTGTGAAGGGTGACTTCTCATCATCAAAGCATTAAAAAAATTTTTTTGCCTAATATTGCTGCCTATTTCAAGTGAAAAATTGATATTTATAATTCAAATTTATGAATCTCGATCACAGGGTTGCCCTTTGTCCGTATTGGTCGGACCGGGCTCACGGAGAGAGAAAAATCGAATTAGAGCAGGTAGTTTCTTCAAGTGGATGAGGCCCCTCTCCCAACTCTCACTACCAAACCTCGGGAGCTGCGTTAGTACGATGAGCCCAGGTTGCCGGGCCCTGGTCCAGTGGACTGAAGTTTTACGTCTTCGAAAAATAGAAAACTCTAGGGAAATACGGTAATGCTGGCCTGACGAGGTTGACACTAATCCGGTAAAAAATTATTTAAAAAATCTGTAAATAATGGCCGAAAGATAAAATTTAATTAAGACAGAAAAATTTCAAAGAATAGCGCCTAAATAACTTTCTTTTGGAAAAAAAATTATAACCTCGGAAAAATTCAGATAATTGTATAAATGTTAATTAATTCGTAAAAATTTGGAAAAATTGTGTGAACTTTATTTGATCTCTGTGACCACCTTACACCATACCCTGAACCGAGAAAAATTTATAAAAAAGGAAAGTTTATTGAAGAGAGAAATAATTCTGAAAAAGAAAGGTCGATTGAGGTTCATCATAATTATGTGATAATTCTGTCATTTGTTTTTCTGACATTTCCTTCTTCATCATTTTTCGTGAAGGATGAATTCACGAAATAGTTGTTAAGCTTTCAGGAATGGTTCTGTATTAATTTCTAAACCGATTCCGATGACTTCAATTAAGTGATCATTATGTGAATTATAGAATTATAGAATTTTACATAGTAGACGGGAAATTTTTTATAGCGTTCCACATCTTTGTGACGTCAAAGGAGTCGTTGGATAGGATTTGGATTAGGTAGGAAAGGGAACAGGATAATTCTCGATATAATTTTTACAAGAAAAATTACTGAAAATTACTGAATTACTGAGTGCGCATCTATCAGTTCAAAACAAATCTCTCTTACGTGAACAATTATTTTGCAAAACCATGCCAAGTACCGTGAACTTGATGTTTTTTAATTGAAAAAAAAAAAAAAACAAAAAACAATATTTCGACGAATCTTAAGTCGACTGAAGTGCATAGAGTTGAGTAGAGCAAAGTATAGTACGACTGAAGTGCATAGAGTAGAGTAGAGCAAAGTATAGTACATTAGTTGTCGAGGTCTTTTGGTTTTACGACGACTGTACTTCTTTACAAGCGTGTGAAGATTACCCAATTCATTTGTACATGTTTTATTTGATTTTTGCTTCCGAATGAAAGCTTTGTATTCGGTCATATTCAAGTTCCCAATTTTTTGTGTAACTAAATGTAGCAGAAAAAGTCCGCATAGGCGATTTTTAATTGGTGTCTGTACGTATGTATGTATGCATCTATGCATGTATGCATGTGTGTATGGATGGATGCATATGTATGTATATATATGTGTGTTTATTGCATTTTTTCTCCCTTTTTCTTCACCAGGGATTGATTTAATACATAATTCTTTTTAATGAATATAGGATTTTTGAAGCTTTATCTATTGACACTGGTTAGTGTTGAAATTTCCATCAAGATTGCGAAAAATCCATAACTTTAAACCATTCTTGTTCAAGTCAAAAGATGATGGAACAACCCCCATTATTTTCCTATTTTTAGAATAGTGAAATTGGCTTTGATATCACAGAACACTAGACTTCCTTTCTATCTTCGTTTAATGAGTTAGTCACCCCTATTGGAGGTAGACTAAGAGGAAGGATTATCAATAATATGAAAAATTAATCATGTTTCGGCATGTTTTGCGCAATAGATGGAGCTGTCAGTGATACACTGAGAGAAATATTCAATAAAAATTACGTGTATTTTCCGTAATTCTGGAGCGAAATGTGGTTGTCGGAAATTTTACGGAACTGTCACGTAATTTTTATCTAAAGTCACGCAATTTTTCCGCGCTGTTCCATAATTTTTATCTGAATTATCGGCGAAAAATAACGATACCGTCACTTAAATTTTTCGAATCAACTCCGTAATCGGTAAGTGAACTGAAAGTTCCGTAATTTTTACTAAGTATTTCTCTCCGTGTAGTATAAATGGAACAATTGTATGACAAGCCAACTTCACTCGATTGTATTATGATTCGATTTTCGATTGAGTACTTTGTAGCATGATGGGGTGATAAAAATTTCATTGAATATAAAGACAATTTAGATACATGTCCATGTATTCGAATAAATATTACAATGAGGAAAAAAACTGGAAACAATGAAATCGTTTCGATTTAACGTCGATCCCTCGTTCTGTACTTCTTGAACAAACCCCCTGTTGGACATTACCAACGTGGTTTTTCAGGGCATTATCGACAAAGGTTGAGTCTCACAAATGTCACCAAAATAATCAAATCGAATATTAGGAAATTTTCCATTTTTTTCAACTGAAAAAAATTCTGTTATTTCGAACCTGATTTGAATGGTCGAAAGAACTATCCTGCTGCAGTGAAAATGTTAATCGATTTTTTCGTTCCACCCCCCATTAAAATTTGAATGAATAATTTGAGATTTTCATTCAGCCTCAGATAGCGTACCGAGCAAAAAAAAAGAAAAAATTCCATCGCTACTTAAATTTTTCCCATCTATTCAGTGAGTTGCCCCTCCAGCTGCAGTTACCTTATGAACTTGTTTTCTTTGTTTCGATTCTAATATAGAATTTGCTTTATCTCTATGAAATAATAGAGCACGGAACTATTAATAATCCCTTCCAAATGCAAATTCGATTTCACACATACCGACTGCCGTATTTTTGTTGGTGAAAAAAAAACTTAAGGCCCAGTTGGGGTATCTGATTATCTCGTATAGATTGTTTTTTTTCTTATTTTTTTATCTAAGACTGATGCACTCCTGCACGAAGTACAGCTGTATCACATTAATGCGCGTGGGCTAAAAAAAAATCCAAAAAAAAACAAAAATATAGAGGCCGTATTTTTTAATCAAAGTGGGAAGATAATTGTGCAGAGGCACAAGTTGGAAATATCTGATTTGATGGAGCAGCGGCGAGACGGGGAGCGACAAAAGAAAATAGATTCCTATGCGGTTGGTGAGGCATTATTTTACAAAGTCGTTCTCTGAAAAGTTATTAAATATTTCAAAAACTTTTTTAGTTATAATGTCCTACCTGATCATTGGCAAATGTCTCTGAATTAGATATAGAAAAATTGAGGTGACGATCAGCTGCCGCTTCAGCCATAGAGGGAAGGAGGGGCGGAGGGGAAGTATGCTGGATGTAAATTAGTCCGTACGGAACACGTGGGACATATGTATAACATTTTCTTCTCTGAAAATTTTGAAATTATTTTTTAGATTTTTTCAATCATGATTTCTTTACCTCATAATTGGCAGATATCTCCGAATTAGATAGCGAAAGATTAAGGTAATCATCAGGTGCCAATTTATGGGACGAGATGAGGGGGGGGGGGGTACAAGAAATACGATAAACAGATACCGAAATAATTTTTTTCAAAACATGTGAACGTGAAAATTAAACGTTCATCCTACTTCTTTTACTCCCCCCCCCCTCCCCTTCATCTTGATGGTAACATTAACAACTCATCGTCACGCAGACATCTCCCAATTATGAGGTAAAGAAATCGTGATTGAGAAAA